TGAAGACCATCATTTTGCCTTAACTTTGCCTTTGGTGAGGTAACTAGAACAAACAGTAATACCTGTATTACCTGTATATACCTGTAAATTGATCATGTATGTGCGCACAGTTTCATGGTGAATCACAATGTGTTTGACACAACCATGACCATCTTTTAAACACTTTTTCTTTCTTTAAAATAAATTTTTTTTTGCATACTACTTACCAGGGGTGTGGCACCTAATATCCAGATACAGGTCAAAACTTTTTTTCTCAACAGAATTAAAAACTAATTAAATGTAATTGTAGAACATGGCATGATGTGGTGGGAAGGGCCGTAGGGGCGTAGGGGCTTTTTTTAAGTTAGAGCTGTTAAAGTCTGGAACTCGCTGCCACAAAGGAGTGGTATCAGCTGAGGGTATGGAGTCATTCAAAAAGCATTCAGATACATTCCTCAGAGACCGTAACATACAGGGGTACAGGTATTCTTGAAAACTAGATCACACAGGGACTCGTGTACACACATACATTCAGCCTCAAATACTAACTATCTAACTATGATTGTAGATCATGGAAAAAGAAGCTGTTGTGCAGTTCCAAATGTAAAGTGTGAAAGAACTTAAAGTGAACATGTACTCCTGTTTAAACTCTTAAAAGTAAATTCTTGCCTAAGAGCAGACACTATATGATGCCTGTTTTTTCAGTAATCAACAGGAAAATAAACTCTTTCATGCCCTTCTCTCATTTACTTCGATTTTACTACAATTGTGGCACCTAGCTTTCTTTAACTTGATGACTAAGCTCTAGCAAACGCCACCCCTATCCAATGAGCTTGTCCTTACAGCCCATTACGGTACGGTCAATAACCAATGGAATAGCAGTTGGCAGGGCTTAGCATTTCAGAAACATAACTTTTGATAATATCAATAGCCTTAGGGGATATGGATAGATGTTTTATCCAAATTACATTATTTGGTATTAGGTTGCATATGAATAGTATATTCTATAATATTTGTTTTTCACTGAACCAATGGCTGTCAATGCGTCAAGGGAAAACACTGCTTTATTTCTCATGTTAATATAATTAATTTGTAAATAAAAAACAATCTCCTAATAGAGAAGCTATTTTATTTGGGATAAGCACAGTTTTATAATAATGAGTGACAGAAGTAATTACAAAATTGAGAAGTAACACTAAAGTTTTCACTAATACTTTACCTTAACATATGACTTAAGGAGGGTGATGGGTCAAAGCGATTCACAAAATAATGCAAATTCTCTTGATTTAAATAATATAATTGGTGTGTCATTATATAAATAGGGAGGGATCATGTCATGAATAGTGATGAGCGAGCCGGGAAAAATTTGGTTCACAGGAGGTGCAGCAAACCCACCAAAAAAATCCACTAAACAGAAATACAGTATAGCGCCAACCCTATTAAATTCTATGGGAGACAAATCTTATCTTTCCATGGCTTTTTTCAAGCCCAGTTTGAAAGCTTTTGTGGAAAAAGGAGAAGGTCTTTTAATGCAGCTTAAAGGACAATGTTAAAAATGGGGGAAGCCTTAACCCTTGTGCTGGCAGCAGGGCCTTGTAAGCAGACTCACTGTTGCTATAATAAGACTCACTGTTGCTAATATACAATATAACCAGGAGTTTGATTAGGAGTCGCTGTTGGCTTTCTGTTGAAAGTGAATCAGGTGGCTTTAACAGGCCTCAAATGATACAATGCCCAGGCTAATTATCTTGAGTCTTCTGTCTTGGAGCTCCATCGAATATCCCACACTCAAATTTAGTAACTGGAACTTCAGAAGTGTAGGCATGCAGACTTATAGGAAAAGTATTGGGAGAGTAAAATATACTCTTCCCAATACTTAAAGCCAACGTTTGACACTGCAGGTGCCGTGTGTCGGCTCTATAGATCAAGTGCTTTGCGATCACAGACCATTGATCGTTCAGCTCACGGTCTTCTCCCTGAAGAGAGTGGTGACTGTGCTCCCTGCAGGTATTCCGTCTCCCTTGTCTGATTCTTCAGTGCTTATTGGAGGGACAGAGAGGAAAGGGGGTGGCACAGCTGACTCTGGCTATAGAGAGGCCAGCTGTCAATCAGGCAGCGGGCTGCATCCCGACAATATTGTTGGTATCTTTCCCAGCTGCAGCGTGGCTCTGCACTACCAGCAACTAACAGTAGATGCTGACTTTGGGTCACCAAAGTACATTATCAAATGTACTCCTTTGACCCAAATGAGGACTAAAGCCAAAAAAAGGTTTGGCTTTAGTATTCTTTTAAAGTAGGACTAAACTCAAACAGTGGAGATGTGCTATTTTATAGGGAATAAGTAAAAATGTTAATTGTGCTTAAGCTGTACTGTGAAAAATCTACCCCTTTGTCTTGAATTCCTCCTAAAAAATAGTACAGCACTTACTAGTATTTTTGGTGCCTATGCTTCATACTTGTAAATCTTCTGTGTTAGATCTGAGGCAATTGCTGCCCCTGACTGCTACTCTCATGAGATTCACAGTGATATTTGATGATATCGCTACTGTGCTGCTCACTGTTCTTCATGATGAAGGCTCTCACATGAGGATGCAATGCCCTTCTTCTACCATCATAGCCATAGCCATGATGAGGAGTTAGAAAACTGATAGAAAATAAGGAACACCCTAGCTAAAATTGCAAATTTCCCTCCAAGCAAATGTCAATCACCCATGACAGATAAAATACATTTGATAAATTACATTGTAACAATTAGCAAATCTCACCTTGCACAGCAACTTCCAAACTGTCCAAGAAATCTGCCGCACTGTGATAGGCGGCCAAGCGGTGTGGGAGGAGAGACACCGGCCGCTCACAGCGCTCTCCTCCCGCAGTGCTCGGCCAGCTGTCACTTTCTCTCCTCCCCGCTGGGACATAGAGCAGCGCCCAGCGGGGAGGAAAGAAATCACGGATGCGCCGATGTATCGGCAGGAAAATGGCCCTTTTAGCATTTAGCCAAAAGTGCAATTTTCGGCCGATATACTGCTTTGCAAGGCGAACATCCAATCTACAAAGTGAACATTCCCTTTACTAAGTAAACAGTCTCTGTTATTATAATAAATCAACCTCATTGAGTTCTGTAAATAATGGGCTTCTTTTACATCAGCAAAGATCCAATGCTGAATGTAAAAAGGATACTAGAACGCCACCTGTTGGCTGTAAAGGAGAACCCAAAATATTAATACACATTATTTCTTAATTAAAAAAAATAAAAAAATTCTATACTTAAGTGAAAATTATGACTCAAACAGAACTGTGACATTTTCCAGATAGCATTAGTAGTTCCTGCTTACCTATTGTCTAGAAGTACTCTTTTATATGCTAGTTTTTATCTCCCTAAAAACAAGTTTTGGACATATTTCAGGCAAATTGTTTGCTTGTTTGGCTGATTTATGTTGAGTTCTAAAAAAGAAAAAAAAAAAAAGAAGCAGAACTAGCTTGTGTGCTTGGAATGTCCTTATATTTTTATACTATGCCTTAGGCAAGGATTTCCAATCTGGAGGGTTTTAGAATCATTTTATCTTGATTATGGCTAAATGTAAAGCTTGATTCATGGGTCATGCCAAAACAAGCTTACAGCTATGAAGGCTAATGTCACATAATCAGAAAAGGAAGGAATTGTAAATCTAAACCCCGGGAAAACAGCTAAACACGCACACACACACACACACACACACACACACACAAACATATGTTGTAAGGGGGACACGCTCAACTGGTTTTTGTTATTGACAGCGGTAAATCATGCATGACACAAACACCCAGGAACAGTCCAAGCAGGTTTGTCCTGCACTTTTATCCAGCAGGGCAACAAGCAATTTTCAATGCAGGAGAGCTTTTTACAGCAAGTTCATAGCATGAAACACAGAAAACAGCTGCTAACTAAAATTTGATTAGCTCCTGAATAACAGGGTGCCCCATAATATGTTCCCCAAATCAAACAGGCAGCTATTTAGTGTTCTATCAGCACTCAGCCTTCTCACCCAGCAGCAGGCTTCCACAGCGGAGAGAGCTAGAGAAAACATCAGGAATAGCATAAAGATGAATAAATGTCACCAGCACACAACCAGTATTGCAGTCCAAAGAGTTTGTTTATTGGAACATCATGTCACCAAAACTAGAGCTTTCGGGGCCATGCAGGGTCCCCTTCATCAGGCTCAGCAATGACCCTGCGTGGCCCGGAAAACGCAAGTTTTGGAGACATGACGTTCCAATAAACAACCTCTTTGGACTGCAATACTGGTTGTGTGCTGGTGAGATTTATTCATCTCTATAATGGTGTGACATACGCATGTCACTACAAGCACCCACCTCCCCTCATTCAACTTTGGGTTTTTCGGGTAAGGAGTGCGGCAAGGTATCTTTTTGTTTAACATCAGCAACAGCTCACATATAAAATGCTTACAGGTAAGATATTGAAATGGAGGCTTTATCCCACCATAGATCCGATAAATACAAAATGTTGTGTCAGCCATTAACCCTTGAGCCTCTAACTGTGTGTATATGAGAAACCTAAGTGACACAATTCAGCCCCTCCCAGTTTACAAAGCTATACTACACAGCACATGGACAAGAGACCTGATTTTTGTCTGCTGCATTAAATAAACGCTCTTTCAGGTCTTGCCTCTCCCCCACCCAGTGATTGGACAGTGAAAGGAGAAGCAGTACACAGATGAGTCTATCTTTCTGTTGCTCAGCTCTCTCCTCTTTTGCTTATTTTGTGCATACACTTGTACCGATTCTCTCTCTTTCATTCATTCACTGCTGTACATGGGACTGCAAGAGGCATATACCAAGTCAAACTCTAATACTTAAAATGCTTGCATGAAAAAATAACTTTGATAATACATTAATGGATACAGAGCATTCATTTGCAGAGTTCAGTTTTACACTCTACAAAGCATTATATAGAGCATGCCAATGTAACTGCAACAATATTGCAACAATATTGAAATTATAAACCTTATTTCATTCTTTTTAAGGAAACTATGGAGAAAGTGGAATGGAAGCCTTTAGGGAACTGGCTGCACAAGAAGGCCTGTGCATAGCACATCATGATAAAATCTATAGCAATGCTGGAGAGAAAAGTTTTGATCGACTGCTTGGTAAACTTCGGGAGAGACTACCAAAAGCAAGAGTGGTGGTTTGTTTTTGCGAAGGAATGACAGTAAGAGGGCTCCTGATGGCTATGAAACGTAAAGCTGTTTTTGGTGAATTTCTGCTTATTGGAAGGTAAGATAATTTTTTATTCTGTGATTTTCTTTCACAACAGTTTTTTAAAATATAATACAGAATACAGTATGAAAGTAACATAACTGAAAGCAGGGCATCAATGACGCATTCAGTAGCAACTGCACAATAGAAATCCAATAACATCAACAGCAATAAAGATCTGAAGCATCCAGGATATAACAGTCAGATGCCCTCTAGTATGAAGCTTTCCAAAAAGATGACAACACAATCAAAGGACAGGTTTAGAAAGTGCATCCAATAGTGGGAATGGATCTTTCCCAGGAGAGCAGAAGTACAGATATTCAAAGAGAAGGTGATAGAGAGAGAGTTAGTGTATAGAAGAATATGAAAAAAAGGAAAAGAAAGAATAAGAGGGTGGACGTAGAGAAAGGGGAGATGTGGAAAGGGAAATAGTAAGGATCCAAGGGGAGTCATTCATAAAGTAGTCAGATGGTTGATAAAATATCCTCAAACCAGGGAGGTTGGGAGCATGATATCCAAGGTTGCCAAATAAGGAGGAATTTGGCCTGAGTGTCAGTCAATATTGCTGTCAACTCTACCTGTCACAACTCTACTTTTACCCCATTTTCAGCTCAAGGTAGGCAAATTCGAGGCCTTGGCGATTGTCAGCCTGGTGGTTGTAAATATATGAAGCAAAAAGGTCTGCTCCATTTAAAATAGAGTCTTTATTATGTGATTTTAAAGTAAGCTTTATGTGCAATTGCCAGCTAGCAGTCTCAGCTTTTCTCCTCCATTAACCCCTGCTAATTACTCTATATAACTTTTTGGTATGAAAATGTTGCCGTTTTAGTTGACTGTGCATGGTGCATTGATAATGCTCGTGTATAAATAGTTATAAGACTAGAAAAACATGTGTCCTTTTTAAATTATTGGGCAGCACAGTGGCTTAGTGGTTAGCTCTGCTACCTTGTGGCACCAGGGGTCCCTGGTCCAAATCCAGGTCAGGATACTATCTGCAAAGAATTTGCATTTTCTCTGTGTGCTTGCGGGGGTTTCCTCTGGGTAATCCGGTTTCCTCCTAAACACTCCAAAGGCATGCTGGAAGGTTAATTGACTCCCGTCTAAATTGGTCCGGTGTGCATGTGGGATAGGGACCTTAGATTGTAAGCTCCTTGAGGGCAGAGACTTATGTGAATGTGCAAAGCGCAGTGTAAATTGCTATATAAATACCAGTAATAAATAAATTATCTTTATCAATGGTAACTTCAATTTTCAAGTGTATTCCAGTTTTTCACATTTGTCCTACAAAGCTCTTTTCAACATTAGGTTTCCATCTATCTCCTAACATAGCCCCCCTTTTCCCTGCTCCAGCCTTAACACTCTTCCTCTTTTTAAAACCACTTAGCTTACATAGTCCTCTGGCTGAAGGATAGGGAAAAGTTATATAGGTAGGATGTCCTAAAATAGACAATGTAGGTCAGTCTTACTACGAGAGTCAGGCCAAATGTGTCTAGATGTACCTGGTGCTCTGAAAATAGACAGGAAATAATGCACTCAAAACTAGTTCACGACTTGCTACAAACTAATTAATTCATTTAATTTTAGAGTTAATGATCCTCTTTAAAATGGTTGCCCTTAAATGGCATATATATTTGTCACTCATACTGTTATGGGTTCAAATGTTCTTGGAGTCAGTAAATTAATCTTTTGATTTGTTTTACATCATATAGATTGTTAATTCTATGGGGTTGATTTACTAAATAATAAAGATTGTTCAGAGTAGATGTGCACTCTGAAAAAGCATATGTTCACTTTGCAAACTGAATACCCAATCACATGTGGGAAATTAACAAAACAGGATTTTTGCTAGAACCAAATTGGTTTGTTAACACAAACACAGATTTATCTTATTTACTAAGCTTACTTACCTCTGTAGATGCAGACACTGTGGAGCAATTCCCCTACAAAGATCACAGCAGAAATGGGTTTCAGTCAGTGTCTAACAGCTTATAGCACCTTGTATTTGGGAAACAAGGGACAAGACAGAGCGCCTCCATAGTGTAAAAGTGTAATTTATTTGTACAACACGCAAAAAAAAAATGTACTTACAGGAAAGTCGGTGGTTAAAAGCATACAAATGGTGATGAAGTATAAAATCTCTAGCAGCGGAAGTCTGAAGGAGTACAGCACATCAGCGTCCTCTGCCCCCTTGAGTTCTAAAGGCCATGCGTTTCAGGGGCATGCCCCCTTCATCAGAACCTCCAGGGGGCATGAAGAGGGCATGCCCCTGAAACGCGTAGACCTTTAGAACTCAAGGGGGCAGAGGACGCTGATGTGCTGTACTCCTTCAGACTTCCGCTGCTAGAGATTTTATACTTCATCACCATTTGTATGCTTTTAACCACCGACTTTCCTGTAAGTACATTTTTTTTTGCGTGTTGTACAAATAAATTACACTTTTACACTATGGAGGCGCTCTGTCTTGTCCCTTGTTTCCTAGATCGATGGTCTTTTTGACCAGTGAGAGCTGCCTTTTGAGTGTTTAAGCCAACTTCACAACCAGCCCATCTTACAACGAGAGGCACCGGTATTGTTTTTTTCGTTACCTTGTATTTGCTTACATTAAAAGGCTGACAAACTAGTAAGTTCTTGCTGCCAGAAAAGTTAAGGGGAGATGAGCTGTAATTTCAGCGCCTCTGTTGAATTAATTTATCCACAGTGTCTGCAGCTACAGAGGTCAGTGATGGTGAGAGTATGTTATTAAGACTCTTTTACTGCTTTCTAAGAAATGTAAACATTTTATTGTTCATAGCCTAGACATAGGTGCACTTAATGCTGCATTTTGTGTGCACTTGACACCTTTGCTCACAGTAGAGATGCACATTTTGTGTACTTGGTTCCTTCATATGTGTGTTTTGTAAATGGCTGATCTTTTTGACAATTAAGATTGTTACAGTTAATGGAAATATATTTCTTACAAAAACTTATACGTAGAATAGCTCTTTCCCAAGTCCGGTGAACATTGTCTAATGTCTGTGCTAGCCGACCTACCTAATTAGGGTGCATTGCCTAAAGCTTACAAAAATCGTAAGGAGTTTGCATTCGGCATTAGTGTTACAAGTTTATGAGGAAGAACATTGATATAATCTGAGGTTTGTGCTGATCATTTTCACCATGCTGCTGTGCGTTGTATGTCATAAACATTATATGCTTCTGAAAAATGTAATTACTAGGGAAATAAATAACTGCACAGCAGTTCTTGCTTGTTATATTAATCAAATGCTACAATGCAAAAAAAATGTATGTGTGCATATTTGTAGAATTACACACAGAATATTAGCATATTGCTAAGAGTAACAAACTTTACTGTACATGCGGTGAATACAAATCTTTGGATATGTCACTGTTTAAATGTCATCAGACTACCACATAAAGTATGGATGTCCTTTTTCAATATACCTTGGAGACACTCAAACAACGTAGCTGCATATTCGTGAGTATGTTAATGAAATACATTTTTAGAGTGTGCTCCCCTACAACTTTCAGTGTTTAAATGAGTAGCATTTAATTTATAACTGCCACTCAATTTTTGATGACCTTTGAAAGTCTATTTGCAATTCAAAGCAGCCAATCTGACAAAATTACATTATTTCATTCTTGCTTTTAATATCCTGTAAAAAGCTTCCCGAATTGCTTTTACCAGCCGCAAAGAAAGTGCTTTTTGTCTGAAAATGGATATACATTTGGGTGATTAGACCTTTTCTTATAGGTGGTTACATAGCTTATCTGTGCTATTAGTGGCTGATTAATCAATTTTTACTCAGAATGTAAAACAGTCCCTGAACCTGGTAACTGAATTGTAATGGTTTTAGGAATCATTGTGCATTTATTTTATATGGTGTTTTTCTACTCTGTATTTTGATGACTATATGTAATATGAATTGTAATTACATGAAAATGTCATTGATTTGAACAGAGGATAAAAATAGCAGTTTAATTTCATTTAGTAACCATCATAAGCAGGACATGATAAACAATTTAATCATTATCTCATATGAAGAACAATAAAAAAGACCCATAGCAGTCCAATGACTGGCTCATGACAGTCACATGGCAATGTCATGGCAGTCACATGCCTACCTCATAGTAGTCATGTAATTAGCTAATTGTAGTCAAATGGTTGACTGACTGGCTGACTGGCTCATTGCAGTTACATACCTGGCACATAGCACTCACATAATTGGCTTATGGGGGTCACATGGGAGGCTCATATCAGTTACATGACTGGCTCATGGCAATCACATGACTGGCTCAAGGTGGTCACATGACTGGCACATAGCAGTTACATGATTGTCTTATGGGGATCACATGCCTGGCTCATTTAAGTCAAATGACTGGCTCAGGGACTAAAGATGGTATTTCATGAAATGAACAGTGTTTCCTGGCATTTCATGATTTAAAAACACAAAGTACAGGAGCTTTCCTGTGTGATGCATTATTTATAACTCTGCTGCAGCTCTACACTCAGAACTATTTCAATTTGTATTTTGAGGCATTTGATAGACAAGCCAATATGTATGCCATAGTAATTTTGAAAATATTGAAAACAGATATCGTATAGCAATCACGTAAACTTTAAAATCAGTTGCTGGAGATTCACAATGACTTGAGGAAGGGAAAACTGTTTCCTTTTAGCAAGATAGAGTTATTTTTCCAGAGGACCTAAGAAAACAGAAGAAAATACCTGGTTGGTTGCTCTGTGCAACAAGAACAATTTTAATTGTAAAATAATTTTACTTGGTGCTAATGCATATTTTTACTGTCCATGTTTTCAACCATATAGTGTAAAAAAGTATGGCTCCAAGTAAAGAATAATTTCACAATGGATAAAGCTGGTATTTTTTCACACCTTGGAATATCAGCTAGATAAACAATCGAGAGCTGAACCCCCCAACCTCCTCCAGGAATAAAAATCTTCTATTTGCAATTTGAACATGGCCAGAGTCTGTCAACTGGCATCAGAATCACCTTCTTTAAAA